TCATATTTTGGGGTGAAATTTCCTGAGCTTCTTCAATGGCATACAGTTTTGTAAGGACATTTTATAGGTTTCATAAAGGTGTAAAAATCACATTTTACTTTCATATTTTAAAAACATACATAAAATTTTTAAAAGACTGTGTTTAATTATGGTATTTCTTACAACATTAAAATTCATCTGTTCTACATGACAGAGATATTTACATGCCTTAAAGCAGTCACTTATTAGGAAATCCTCAACCAGCCATATGTATGCTATTAAGCATTTTCATTTGGATCTTCTCTGCAATTAGCATTCCAAAGGTTATGCTGACTGGTTGTGAATACCATATGTTTGGCATTAATCCTTAAAGTTCTGCCACATGTTCATTTTGATAGCACAGGCACTATGGTGAAGGGAAACAAAAGATTACCAAACACTTTAAAATCAATATCCAACCCCATTTTTTAAAATCAAATAAATATAAAGACTGTGATGATTACGATTACTTGTTGGATAACATTAGTCAAATGTCTCTATTGTGTTCAATGTGTATCTTCCAAAATATGTATTCAAAACAAACACAATGACCCTTGGAATAAACAAACCAACCTTACATTGTCTAATTTGTTTGGGAAAGACTAAAGGTCAGAGTTTTAGTTTTACCTAGAATTGGAAGATTGCATGATAGTCATTGGGGTCTTTAAGCCTCTTGTATCATGTCCTTTAGAAGGGGTGCATAAGAACAATACTTTGTGGGTACAGGACAGGCAGTAGCTTCTTAATTGAGAAATCAAGTGAGAGTTTAGTTTTAGTCTGCTTCCAGTAAAGCAAAGGAAGATTGCCATCAAAATGGCTCTTTAGTGCCTAATACGATGGCTCAAAAGATTTGCTGTCCTTGTGTTTGCTGTTTTCTTTTCAGTCATTTCCTATTTGGCAAGCAAGTGGACATGGTTGATGGCTGCCTCAGTGTAGTTAAGTAATCCAAAAGAACATTAAATTCTTAATATGCACTGTGGGACCTAAAAGAAGCATGGTTGTTGGTGGTTTCTCCAGAAATGGTAAAAGGGAGAATTTTAAAAATGCTCCATCCCTTGTATTTGCAGACATTTATTGCCAGCCTCTAGGAGTAATGGGAGCAGTATTTTTGGATCTCTGCTTTTGCATCTGTAGATAAGAAATAATGAGTCAACTTGAATTTATAATGGTTGAAATGACTGAGCATTGAGAATGCCACCCAGGTCTTAGGTCTAGATTCTAAAGTTATTTGATGTAAAGCTGGCAAGTGGCCGTCAAAAGGTATCAGAAGTCCAAAATATGAAACCCCTCCACACAGCTTCTAATTCTGCAATAGCTTGAAAAGATTGGGAGAATGAATACGTCATGAAAACTTTGTCAACTGAAGCAAGAATCAGAGGGCTTGTCTTTTATACTGGGTCAACCAGTGGCCATAGATTTCCTAAATTTGTTCCAGGTTTCTTTGGGATTACAGGTTTTAAGTTCCTTAGGAATTGTGTGCCCTAGAGATCTTGGTTTATTCTCTTTTCACTCATACAAACTCATACGAAAATATTTTTGAGCTACTACTAAGTGCCAGCTACTTTGTTAGACAAAGAAAATTCAGCAGAGTTCAAGACAAGCACAGTACCTATTTTCCTGGAGCTTATAGTCCAGAGGTGAAGCCATTAAACCTAAACAAACAGCTGTACAAACTGGTGTTCAGTAAGAATGATACAAGGTGACATGGACTTATAATATTGGGAGCTTTGTGAATGTGTTTGTGGAGGACCCAAACTACTTCTAGGATTGACAGGAGATTTCCCTAAGGAAGGGACATTTATTTCACTTAAGATCTGAAAGATAAATAAAAATCAGCAAGACAAGAAGAGCCAGAATAGGAAACTGGAAGGTATTTGGCTCAAGCACTGACTTTGGTTGTAGGGGAAGTTATTTTTCTCAGATTGTCACATCCAAACAAAAAATTTTGAAGGCCAAAATATTGCTTAGAAAAAATGCGTTTTGGGAATCCTTACCATCCGCAATGGCACAAACATATACAAATGGAAAATATTACGGAATAACCAGAAAATGTTGAAATTGGAACAAGACAAAATATATAAAATATTTTGAGGAATTGTATGTTTAATATATAGATAACATTATGTAAAACATTTGGTAGTCAGATAAAACGATGTGCTGATTGAAATGAACAACCTCACAGATTTTTGTTTTTATCACCAGTGAACTAATGGAAATTGATGTTAATGCAGAAATACTGCTGCTAAGACCAACATGGGAATTGAAAGCATTTCCCAGTGATCCCTGGCTGCAGTATTATTAAGCTATTTCTCTATTGGCTTGGTATATTATTCCTTCCCTCCTGAGAAGGAAAGGGAAAATTGTGCCCAGTATGGTACAGGTGATGTTCTGGGCAATCATTCTGCACCGCTCCTTGCTTTTTATTGCCAAGACACCACACACAAGTTTCACTACTATTCTCTGAACATCAGGAATCACCTGATGTTAGCATCGAAAACATAATTTAGAGGTATATGAAATACGAAATCTGTCATAATAATAAACGCATGCTGTAAATAATTGAGAAAAGAGGCTAGTGTGCTCCACTCAGGCTACATTTCAGAACTGTGGTTGTGGACTAGACCAATTTACTGAAAAGTATGGACTGCTGCTTATCTGATAATGCGGCTGGCAACTGGTCAGAGAGACCTCGAGGTATATTGAAAAGTTCTGAGGACTCCAAAATGTCAGTGTGACCCAGGGCACATGAGTCAGCCCACTTTAAACATGCCAGGAGCCTTCCCATAACTTTCTTTATCCTTGTGTCTCCAGGTCCAATAAATGGGACACATGGTTTGAGATGCTCAAAAGTAGCAACTAGAGGAAGGATCAGGCTGTATTTGCCTTTTGGAAACCTCAAAGCTTTGGCAGTTAAAGGCAAGCAAAAAGGGTGGGGGACATTCTACAGTCTGGAAAAGGCAGAGCCTGGAAGAGTGGTGACCACAGCAGTGGCAGCCAAATTGTAAGGTCATGGGGAAAAGAGCTGGAAGTTACTTAGAAGCAACTGCATGGGAGCCAGTGTTTTTCAGCAAATGGCCTTGGGTGCCCTCTTGGTAGTACATTTGCAAGGGATAGCCCCTCTGCTCTAGTCTAATACGTTTAAATACACAGAGATCACCAGTGATTCCAACTTTGTAGGAAATGCCTTTCCTGCCTTTTTTTTTTCCTCTTTAATTCTGCAACTACCTAAAACAAAGAATTTGGTAGCCTTTGTACATGGCTTTCAACAAAATAAGGCAGGTACTTTCCTTAGTTTCTAAAGTTTTAAATATTTCCTACAGGTTACAAAATTGGATAGATTCTAGATGTTACCAGGTCCAACAAAAAATAAATTCAGTGACTGAGTCAGGAACAGGTATACCATCTTAGAAATCTAGTCTTAACAAGTGTTTTTAAAATAGTAGAGGCATTGGTAAGTAACACCTTACATTTACATAATAGGTTTTCAGAGAGCTTTTAGATTTACCTCACTCGTTCACAGCAAGTGAGGTAAGTGGAACAAGAGTTGTTATCCACATTCCCTCGCCTTACTTTGAAGGGAACATTTTACAAATGAGGAAACTGAGACTCAGAAAGACTGATGTGCCCAAAGACATGCTGAGAGCGAATGCCAGGACTGGAAGCGGAGCCCCAGATTCCAAGTTTATTCTTTTTTCCATTACTCAATATTGCCTCTTTCTTCATCTTACAGGAGACATCTAGACTCATTTTTAATTTGAAAGGAGGATGGGAAGATAGATAGTTAAGAAATGGCTTTAACACTGCAAAAAATGAAAAAGCAAAACTAGCACAAGCCATTATATAATGAACCACTCTTTGGCGCATGAATATGTATATTATGTAATGCTTGGGACTGATTGAGTGAAGGACATCTTGCAAAGACTGACATAATTAACACACTCTGATATACAATCTGCAGCCCAAGGGACTTCAGTAATCCATCTTTTGCTGAAAATAGTCATATATGTTCTGATACCCTAAAACTATATGAGACATTTCTAATAGCCTTCATATCCCTTAATCATAAAACACAGTTTCCACTTCTCATGCTAGTTTCAAAATACAAGATACAAGACTGGTGTTTTTCAGATCATTTATTTTTTATTGAGTAATGTTTTATCCCAGAGGAATAAAATATATTGGTAAATCAATGCATTTAATGTACAACTGTTATTTCATTTTTATATGTTAAAGATGGACTTGACAGTTATTATTTAACTGAAAGAGAAAAATTTCTTTTAAAATTCCGGATCACTTTGTTCCAAAAACAATGAAAAATATTCTTGTTAGAATTCAAAATTTGAATTAGAATTCAAGTGACTAAAAATAATGCAAGAATGCAATTTGTTGTATGGCTGTCTAAAGAAAATCTTTTAATTAAAATAAATTAGTAAACTTGACTCTTTAATTGTCCAACTGAGACCCAGAACTGGGAAGTACTGCTTTGGGTATGGCATTGCTGCAGGCGATGAGTTGGGCGTTCTTTTGGGCATTGCTGCAGCATTGCCTTAATGAGTCGGAAAGTCTCAAAACAAAGTTTCTAATTGCCTTGAACAAAACAAGATGAGGGCAGGGCAAGTTTCAGCTGATTAGAACCAAGATGGTGGAGGAACACTGCCTCTTTCATGAATATCCCTCCCCTTGTTTAGCCCAAGGGGCTTAAATAGAAAGGCAACAAGAACCAGGGAGTTGGTTCTTTTCTGCAGGGAAGGCCAGCCTCTACTCTGTGGAGTAGACTTTCTATGGTTTCTGCAGGGGGCCAGCTCTTTTCTGCAGGGAGAACTTGCGTGTGTTCTGTGGAATAGACTTTTTAACTTTCTATAGTTGCTAAATAAACCTTGCCTTCGCTTTACACTGTTGGCTTCTTTCTTGCATGAAGCCAAGGACCCAGTTGGACATCAAGTGGCTTCCAGCATTAGGAGTCACTTTCCTTTATTACAACCATGAAAGATCAGGTACGTCTATCAAATCGCAACTGGACTTAAAATTCTATACTTTTTTATTTGCTCTGTGGATGGAAAAAGAACTTTATTTTAAAGTTAAAAAGTAGACAAGCTCTATTAATGCATTAAGGTATATGAGGCACACCTATAAGCAGAAACATAAACAAAAGCATTATTCCAGCAACTGTGAGGGCTATGGTCCCGAGCTTACAGTCAAACATGAGTCCAAGGACAGGAATTGCTCCCTTCCCTTACTTTGAAGGGATCTTCAATAACCTTGAAAAGAAACTCAAAACCTAAAAAGAATTTTACAGAAGGATGTTTTTCTAATACTGTAGAGGACATAGGGAGGTCATTTATTATTGAAACAAGGAACTTTCCTCTTTCAGACAGGAAATTACACAAGTCCTTGGAATGTAAACTAAACTTTCAAAATGAGCTTTATTTTTTCCTGCTAAAAACTAGAATCTGCTAAAACAGCTCTTTGAATATTTTTCTAACTTTCATTTTAATTGACAAATAATAATTGTATATATTTATGGAGTACAATATGATATTTTGGTACACGTATATATTATGAAATGATCAAGTCAGGATAATTAGCATATCCATCACCTCAAATATTTATCATTTTTTGGTGATGAGAACATTTAAAATCCTCTATTTTAGCTATTTTGAAGTATACATTATTAGCTGTAGTCACCTTGATGTATGACAGAACACCAGAACTTCCTCCTCCTGTAACTATGATGTTGTACCCCTTAACCAAAGTCTTGCATTTCCCCCTTCATGTCTCACCTCCTTTCCTGCCCCCAGCCTCTGGTAACCACTTTTTTCCTCCTTACTGCTATGAATTTGACTTTTTTGGATTCCTCATATAAGTGAGATCATATTCACGCTTTGTCTCTCTGTGCCTGGCAGCTTTTTAAATATTTTAAGACTATATTAACGTGTTAGGTGCAGAGATTAAGAGCACATAGGTGGTATGAAGTCGTAAACCATGGAACAAAAAGGACTGTATTCCACGCCATGGAATTTGGTGTTTTATCTTCAATTTTATAAATAAATATTTTTATTGAAATGAAGCATGTTTATAAAAATGTACATAAAGCAGAAGTGTACAGATTAGTGAATTGTCACAAGAAGAACATATTCATATAACCACTAAGGAAGTCAAGAAATAAAGCACCACCAGAAATGCCCTTTATGCACCCACCCCCATCACTCTCCATTCTTCCTCCCTATAGATAACCACTATTCTGCCTTCTAACACCAGGAATTATGTTTGCCTTTTTCTGAATTTTGTATAAAAGGGATAATACTATAGAGTTTGGATTATTTGGGGACTGGGTCTTTCACTCAGGTTTCTGATTGTGAAATTCATTCATGTTGCATGCAGTGTGTTTGTTCATTCTCTGTGCTAATTGTATTCATTATATTATTATGCTACAACTCAGTTATGCTTTCTATTATTGAAGACTATTTAGATCATGTCCTGGCTTATGCATTATGAATAATGCTGTGAACATTCTTGTACATTTTTTCTATATTTCTGCTTGGTATATTCCCAAGAGAGAATGTCTTGGGTCATAGCATATGCACATGTTCAGATACTGTGAGTTTTCCAAAGTTATTTTAGGAGTTTATGTTCTCATCAGCATGCTAGTTGCCCACATTCTTGCCAACACCTAGAATT